TGACAGTTTACCATGTTTCTGACAGTTTACCATGTTTCTGACAGGTTACCATGTTTCTGACAGTTTACCATGTTTCTGACAGTTTACCATGTTTCTGACAGTTTACAATATTTCTGACAGTTTACCATGTTCCTGACAGTTTACAATATTTCTGACAGTTTACGATGTTTCTGACAGTTTATGATGTTTCTGACAGTTTATGATGTTTCTGACAGTTTACGATGTTTCTTACAGTTTATGATGTTTCTGACAGTTTACCATGTTTCTTACAGTTTATGATGTTTCTGACAGTTTACCATGTTCCTGACAGTTTACCATGTTTCTGACAGTTTACCATGTTCCTGACAGTTTACCATGTTCCTGACAGTTTATGATGTTTCTGACAGTTTACCATGTTTCTGACAGTTTACCATGTTCCTGACAGTTTACCATGTTTCTGACAGTTTACCATGTTCCTGACAGTTTACCATGTTCCTGACAGTTTATGATGTTTCTGACAGTTTACCATGTTTCTGACAGTTTACCATGTTTCTGACAGTTTACCATGTTTCTGACAGTTTATGATGTTTCTGACAGTTTATGATGTTTCTGACAGTTTACGATGTTTCTGACAGTTTATGATGTTTCTGACAGTTTATGATGTTTCTGACAGTTTACGATGTTTCTTACAGTTTATGATGTTTCTGACAGTTTACCATGTTTGTCACATCAACACATAAATACGTTCAAACGTGTTTTCTAGCACCGGGACTTAATGTTATTAAAAGATGTGCGGCCAACATTAAAATTAACCCAAACTCTCAGGAGTTCAGACGTAATCAGACAAAAGCTGAAGTGAATATTTTCTACAGATCAACTAGAACTGGTTTTACAAAACCTGATCAACATCTTATCAACGTCCAACTCCACTGAGCTGTGACGACGATGACGACAATGACAACGACAACAACGACAACAACAACAACAACAACAACAACAACAACAACAGACAACAATGACAACAACAACGACAACAACAACGACAACAACAACGACAACAACAGCAGCAGACAGGAAGTACAGAACATAAACCGCTGCAGGTGGAAAAGCTCAATGCAAATATGTCAGCTAAACTCCAGAGGAGAGAAAACATAAGTAATTCAAGATGAAAACCAAAAGAACAACCAGGAGGGAGAAGGTTCCTTTAGATCGCTCACTTTTTACATCTTTTTAATGTACGGTGCAACAGCAGTGGAACTATTTCAGTTACTCCATGAAAGTAGTGTAACTAAATAACTACCATACATAGAAGGATGCTGAAAAGTTGAATCTGGCAGCAACACCTCTTTTAAAATCTTTATTATTCACTAAACATAGTTAGTTATTCAATAAATATGATCAGTTATTAATTAAATATGACTAGTTTTAATTATTCATTAAACATTATTCTTTAATTATTAAATATCATTATTCAATAAATATTATTTATTTGGTAAATTTTAATTATTCAACAAATTTTTAGTAATTTTTCATTAAAATCTTAATTATTCAATAAAAATGAATTATTAATTAAATATCACAAATTTTTCATCAAATATGTTTAATTATTCAATCAATCTGATTAATTAAATATTAATTATTCATCAAATATCAACTATTCATCAAATATTAGACCCAAACGAGACGTCGCTTCGAGCCAAAACAACAGAAGTATTGATCATCGATGTTCAGCTGAACAGACTGATATTAATCTGAGAACAATATTTAAGAAGTGGACAGTCGGGGTGATTTGATCACATTCTTCTGATAGAACTAATAAACAAGTTTAGTAAACAACATGTTGTTCAGCTTGTGCTCTCATTTCTGCACATTTTACTTCCATTCGTTCCACCTTTATTTCTTCAGGTGGGCCTCGTTCAAAGCGCGTCCTCCTCTAACAAAGAACGCCGACGAGGTACAGACAGTGGTTTAAAGCACACGATGTGAAAATAAAAGAACCGATATTAAAACAGCTGCATCACGAGGCGGTGCAGGAACCAAGAGCAGGAACGTGTCTGCGCTGGTTTGGCCATGACCTTGGCAGATGTTTGAAGGTCGAGGTGGAGAGCTTCAGATCTTCTAAAGATTCATTTCAGTTTTTGTTTCTAAGATGAGAAAGAACTTTTGCCTGGTCCTGGTTCTGGTCCGAGTGTCTCTTCAGAACAAACTCTGGATCCTTTTGTGTTTGAAGCCTTGTTGTGGGTTAAATAATGACCCGTTGTTCTGAAAGGAATGCCTGTCACCCGCCACACTTCCTTTCCAGAGATTTTCAAACTAAAAGCATGTCCTGATGAGAAACTTGGAGGTTTGTTCAGATTCAGGGATGTGGAGGACTCTCAGCTACTACCACACAAACGTTTCCTTCAACATCCGCACACGGACGCAGTCGGAGCGGCTGAAAGGTTCGCTGAGGTCGATTAGCTGAGGCGGCCATCTTGAGATCTGCTGACTCCAAAAGTTAACCAGGTGTAAATGAACAGCTGGTTTTTATACGAAAATAAAAGCTTTTGTTCGGTTTCATGAAAAAAATAAGATATTTTTAGGATTTTGTGTTTTGTCAAATAAAAACATGAATTTTAAACGTTCATAAAAAATTATTTTATCTCCTTCTGTTCCAGTTTTAATTTGAAGAACGTCTTTCCTGAACTTATTATTTACCTTCAAATTAAAACTCAACAAGTTGAACTGAAAGAATTATGGTTTAGTTTTCAGAAAAATAGTTTATTCTTTTTAATAAAATGAAAAACTTTTCAGTAACGAAGTTTATTATTAATTATTGCACAGTTCACAAAAAATAAAAATCCAAGCAGCGACAGGAATTCTGTTTTTAGGAGACGTCGTCAAGAGTGTTGCTGAAAATAAAAGAAGAAGATTTTAGTTGTTAAAGACGAACGTTTTAAATAAAGTTCATTCACTTCTCACCAGCAGAGCTCGACCGCGGGTTTCTATCGGCAACAGGAAGTTCCCTAAAGCGCACACGACACACGCCACGGCGAACGGAGTGAGAGCCAGAATTACTGACTGGGACATCAACACCTGAAGTACACACAGACATATGCTGCAGGTCAGTAAATGCACCTCAGCTGCAGGTCAGACAGGTCAGTGAACGCACCTCAGCTAC